AAAAACTCTGGACAGGAAGGTCAGGGGTATCCGTGGTTGACAACACTCTTCCAAGTATTGTCATTCCTCAATGCTGGGAGGGTAACACAGCCCAGAGGATGACAGAAACTTCCTGTTTAAAACCTTCCCACACTTCTGCCTATCTGCCTCTTCTTTGGCCTGGCTCAAATTTGTATCCTATTTTGAAAATAAAACTGTAATCATAAGTATAATGCTTTCAGCGACTTCTGAGTCATTCTCACCTGAGGAAGTAATCTACTGAACCTGGGGGTTGTGTGAGAACCCCCAAATTTGAAGGCAGCTGGTCAGAAGTGAGCATGGCCCTGGAGACCTCTGAATTTGCAGCTGGTGGCTGAATTGAGGACTTGTACTCTTAAGTTTGGCTAGCTCCATGTAATAGCCCTTTTCTGCACTGACTTGTAATGCCATTTCAGTTATATATCCAATTTCTATATATATTAATCATTTTTGCGAGCTCTCTGTTAAAATTTGGAATAGGTGTCTACCCCTGTACCAACACTATGCTGTCTTAATTACTATCAATTTGTAGCAAATCTTGTTATCAAGTAGAGCAAAATCCTTGTCACATTTGTTATAATTGTTTAAAATATTCTTGCTTGTTTGTCTCCTCTGAGAATTTTAGGATTGGCTGTCTAGGATTATAGAAAGTCCCATAGAGATGTTTTTGGTTATACAGCAATAGAAAACTAATACAAGGTCCTTGTATGCCATACTAAAGAGATTGGACCTTTTTTAAAAAAAGAAAAAAAAAAGGCCACAGAGAGTTACAAAATAATTTAAGAGAATTCTAGATTGAATAAGTATTAGTATCTGTTACATTATGCTATGTTATAAAAAGACCACCCCCAAATATCTATGGCTTAAAACAACAAAGATTTGCTTCTCACTCATATTACAAGTGCGTGTGGGCTGTTTGAGAATTCTGCTCATTGTCAGAGAATCATCATTGTCAATGAGAATCATCATTGTCCTCACTCAGAATCCCGTCAGCAGGAGTAACCCCCACCGGGAATATTACTGGTTACTAGGGGAGATGGAACCAGGTCATAGAAAAGTATACGCTGGCTCCTAAGGCTTCTGCTGAGAAGTGGTAATCACCTCCACTGTCATGTCATTGGCTAAAGCAAATACCTTGGTTCATATGTAGCTTCAAGTGGATAGAGAAATACAATCCTTCCATGTATCCATGAGAGAGATCTGGAGTATTTATGAACAGATCTACTTATGAGAAAGATATGAAATATCTTTTTAAATATCAAACTACTGAGAGTATGGAAAATAAAAAGGGTGGCAGGAATGGAGGTACAATTGAGCATATGGCTGCAGTTCATAGAAAGCTTTATTAGCATTTAAGTCAGACGTCTAAAAGGTGGCTGCAAAACGACATGTCTGTAATGACACTGGGCATTGTGGCCTAGATGAAAATTGCTGGATTAAAGGATAAGACATTGATTTTAACAAAATTCTTTGCAGCATCTTCTTCTGAACTCATGTATGCTGGGATAGCCTCAACCTAGGTGAACTAACCTGGACATCTGACTTGAGGTACAGAAGGTTAGTCAGTAATACCAAATGTATGCCTTTGCCTTCTGTCTTCTGGTACAGTGTTTTTACAGCTCTCTGGAATTTTGTGCTCCTTAAACTCTAATCATGTAAAAAATGGAATTCATAATTCCTGTGTACCCACCCCCCAGCATCAATATCCTGCCTTTCTTTCATTAAGATTATTTTTGTGATTGAGAGCTTATGATTTAAACCAATGAACCTTGGATTTATGTAATCTGATGTTGAGTGTGGGCCAGGTAATATAATCTGGATGTCAAATTTCCAAGAGTACCTAAATCCACCCAATAATAAGAAGGGCCCACAAAGAGATCATTACCAGATTAGTCCTCAATGGACACATCTTCAACATGCCAGTTCTCCTGCCTGAACACCCACTGCCAACTGGGGGGTTGTTACCTATTATGATGAGATGTCAAGGTAAACTTGGAGAAGCCTGTATCACATAATGAGAAGAAATGATGGGAAACTTTTAAGTATCCTTTTTTGAAGTGGCCTGGAGGTATTTTTCCACCAGCTTCTATACTGCTGATAGCACAGGGTGAAAAAAGATTAAGATTCTGGCACTCAGAAGGGTCTTTTTCATCATTCTGTTTTCCCAACACTCCAGAAGCCATGGCTAGTAAGGACAGAGCTGATGGGGTCAGCAAGGCAATGGTCACCTCCCAATCTCACATCGGTCAGTGAAAATTGGACCACAAATAGACTGCAGATGAGTTTGCCATGCAAGAGGTAGTTTATTTAACCATCAGTCTCACAAGATCAGGTGGATACTTTAACATGTTATTGAAAGTTTGGGTTTAGAATTCAAATTTAACCTGGAGAGAGTGGGCTTTGCTAATATTCAGTTGCTACCTGATAGCAGTTACTTCCCTGCAATTAGTGTTTGAGGGTGAGTGTCAGAGACTGAGTGAGCAAGGATGAGGAAAGATGAGCCAGATATTTTCCACTGGGAGGTTCTTCTCTACTTGGGCCCCTTGTAGTATTTTGAACACATCAAGGAAATATTGAGAAGTACTCATCTCACTGTAGACACACTGATTTGTGGTTTGGGGTGGGGGTTGGTGAGGGAACAAGGTGTGTGAAGATTTCTCATTCACTAAAATGATGTTGCTGCTTCTAATCAACTTCCTGGGCTTCACACGTAGTACCTTGGAGAGCTCCCAGCTGTTCCTGCACAAATCCTTTAAAAAAAACTCGGCCAACAGAATAGCATTTCTTTTGCTAATCAATACTTCATATTGTACTTGAGATGGCATTGTTGCTCCTATCCCCAAGATTCTCCAACCCTGCCCCTCCCCACGTGCAAGACTGTTGGTTCCTTGGTTTGGGAAAGGAAGTCTGTCGGTATCCTTGGGATTAACGTTAGCCCTTCTTATTTCTGTTCTGTCAGCAAAAATTGTATTTATTAATAATCAAGGGGACCTCAAATTGCCTACATATTAGAATTACCTGATGAGGTTTTTAAAAAGAGCCCTAATGTCCAGGCTGCTGCATGCCATTTTATTTAAAAAGCTCTGTAGGTGATTACAACATCTGGCCAAGGTTGAGAACAACTGTCCTACATATTAGCTGGTGCATAGTCTGCTAATCTATATTTCAGGAAAGCTCCCCAGGTTACTCTGTTACAGTGAGTCAATGAACCTACTTTTCATTAACATTTGCCCAAATAATAATATATGGCTGCTGAAGGAGACTACTACAGGGAGAGAGAAAGTGAGGGAGAAGAAACTCAACAAAGAATTGTATCCTGTGACCATACAATATCTACAGAGATTTTCTTCAGCAGATATTGAAGACATCTATAAAAGAAAAAAGGCCTGCAAATTTGTAATATGATCCCATAATTGGAAAAGGATTAATCTTCCTTATTAGACAAATTTTATTTATTTTTTTCATTTATTAAATAAATTAATTTTTCTTCTTTATTTTTCCCCCTAGACCCATCCGTGTACTTGCATAGACAAATCTTAAAGGACTGACTTTTGGGTTTTCAATTTTTTTGCTAGTTCAGAAAATCACTCCCATGCAATTAGTCAACATCTCAAAATATTATGAATAAAAGAAAAACACTGCTGAAGACATGGTGCCGCACAGGGATAAGGTTAACTTGCGGTTAGTCTGTGATTGTTCTATGATCTCCATAAACACCCAAAACACTGTGGTAGTGACCCTTGATCAATACAGGAATGATATGTACTAGCTAGTGATTTATGATGTGTAGTTTAAACTCCAAAACTCCCCTTGAGGTACATATACCAGCTTGTCTGCATTGTTTTTCAAAATAGATCTACACCTGTTTACAAAAGCTGGTTTTGGCTTTGTGATCAAATGGAATTGGTTCCCCTGAAATTGAGATACGTCACATATGTATTTGGTGGTTTCTGATCTGAGACAAATACTGTCCTGTGTGACTGGAAAAGGTCCCTAGAATCTATGCCTGCATGTCTCAAAACCTTAATGTTTACCTGTATTTTATTTTATTTTATTGGGTTTTTTCTTATGCTGTATTGTAGACTTTCTCTTTCTCGGAGTCTCATGTAATTATTAACATAATTTGTGAAGTCATGTGAGTCCTTTCAATATTTTACCCTGGGTAACTAATTGCAGTCACCTGTTTTAATGTAAAACACTGTGCTTGAAAGGAAATATATTTTTGTAAAATGAAAATCAGGCTCAATGTATTTTAGAGTTCATTCCCCATTTAAGAAAATAATTTAGTTAAGAGAAGTAGGGGGGTGGGTGATGTGAGGTTGCTTTGTGGGTACAATGTGTGTTGCTTCAGTGATGTATGTAGTGAAGGCCCTGACTTCATGACAATGCAATATATCAGTGTAGCAAAACTGCACTTGTTTGTACCCCAAGAATATATGCAAATAAAAAATAAATGAGAAAAAATAAAATTTAGAATTTCCTGCTACATTTTAGAGAAGGATTAATAAAAACGTCTTTTATGTTTGGCTTATGCTCTTTCAAAGGGAAGCATATTTTGCATACTTTGTGATGGTGGGGTAGGGGAGAATATAAGCCTATTTTATTTGGCCATGGGATCAAGCCATAATATCCAATCAAACAATAAATACCAGGACTACAGCAATTTAATTTCCATCTATCTGATATCAAGAACTATCTCTCAAACTATTTAGAATTCAGAAGGGGCATAAACCCTGTGAATAATCATCTTCCTCAACCCTCAAATATGTGGCTGATTTAGAAGACACAAAATCATTTATAAAGATGATGACTTCTACTACATTGCATCCAATCTAGGATATTTTGGTTATATGATGTGCCAATAGTTTACATGCCATGTTCTCCATTTAAATATGTAAAGCCATCAGTTGTATGCCACATTTTAATTTAAGCATCGGTAATATGTGGGGAAAAATGTCCATCTTAAAATTGATAAAATACAAAGTTTACTAGAGAGGCACAACATCTTCCAGATCCATTTAAAAATAGTAGCAAACACTAGGGAGAAAAAGATATGCAGTATTGTATTGAGATTTCTTACTAAAATAATGAGCCATTGTAGTTCAATGAAATTTAGGTAGCATTATAAAGATTCACTACAGATATTCTTTGGGAAGGTTTTATGTATATTTAAACATATTTACTATGTATTCACAATTGTTACACTCACACATGCAAGTCTCAGTATGATAAAAATAATAAAAATAGGTACAAAACACTTACATACTTGGGATTCTTCTGGTATATTTTTTGCATTGTTTTCTGACCAGCATATTTATTTACATATTTAATACTTTCTATATCACAACAGCAGAAAAATGACAGCCCCTATAAAATGATACCCATGAGAGCATGATTCATCAGATTCATTAAAATATAGAATTTCTTCCTCAACGTGAATGTAAATTCTCTGATACCAATACAGCTGAATTTTATGCCAACAACATCTTCACAATCAATCAATACATATATGTCCCTTCCTGTTTGTTCCCTCTGGCTTATATTCAATTGATATTTATTGGGAAAGGTATTGCCTCCTGACTGGCAGCATACTCAACACTATTCCCTGATGGGAAATGGCATGCAAGTTTTAAAAGAAGCTTGTCCACATTTGCTGCAGTCTTGAGGTTTCACTCTTATGTAAATTGTGTGGAATAATGAGCTATTCCCTCTCAATGACAACTTTCAGATATTCGCTTGTTTCATGATTTCTTTCTGCTATGAGTTTTCTGATGTAGAATGAGGCTAAATTTGTGGGAGAAACTTTTCCAACACTCACTACATCCATAAGGTTTCTCACCTGTGTGAGTTCTTTGATGTATAATAAGATGTGACTTCTGGGCAAAAGATTTCTGACATTTGCTGCATTCATGAGGTTTCTCTCCTGTATGTGTTTTCTGATGTAAAACAAGGCTAAACTTGATGGGGAAAGTTTTCCCACATTCACTGCATCCATATGGTTTCTCTCCTGTATGGATTCTCTGATGAATAATGAGGCTAAACTTGTGAGAGAAAGTTTTCCCACATTCAAGGCATTCATAAGGTTTCTCTCCCGAGTGAATTCTCTGATGGATAAGGAGATAGGACTTCCGGCTGAAGGCTTTGTGGCATTCACTGCATTCATAAGGTTTCTCTCCGGTGTGAGACCTCTGATGAATAGTTAGGTGTGACTTTTGAGTGAAAGCCTTCTGACACTGGCTGCACTCATAGGGTTTCTCACCTGTATGAGTTCTTTGGTGTAGGATGAGACTAAATTTGATGGAGAACATTTTTCCACATTCATTGCATCCATAGGGTTTCTCTCCCGTGTGAGTTCTCCAGTGCGTATTGAGAAGTGACTTCACACTGAAGCCTTTCCCACATTCACTGCAATGATAAGGTTTCTCTCCTGTGTGAGTTCTCTGATGTCTAATGAGCTCAGATCTCTGGATGAAGGCTTTCCCACATTCACTACATCCATAAGGCTTTTCCCCAGTATGAGTTTTTTGATGTAGAATGAGGCTAAACTTAAGGGGGAATGTTTTCCCACATTCATCACAGCCATAGGGTTTCTCTCCTGTGTGAGCTCTCTGATGAATAATGAGCTGTGACTTATTGCTGAAACTTTTCTGACATTCACCACAACTATAGGGTTTCTCTCCTGTATGAATTCTTTGATGTAATGTGAGTTGTGACTTATCACTGAAGCCTTTCTGACATATATGACACTTGAAGTGTTTCTCTCCTGTGTGAGTTCTTTGATGTTTATTAAGGCATGACTTATCAGTAAAAGCTTTCCCACACTTATTGCACTCATAGGGTTTCTCTCCTGTATGGGTTCTCTGGTGTAAAATAAGATGGGACTTCTGGCTGAAGGCTTTCTGACATCTACTGCATCCATAGGGTTTCTCTCCTGTATGTGTTCTTCGATGCTTATTGAGATCTGACTTCTGGGAAAAGACTTTCTCACAGTCACTGCAGTCATAGTGTTTCTCTCCTGTTTGAGTTTTCCAATGTTTAATGAGCTGTGACTCATGGCTGAAAACCTTTACACATGCATTATATCCACTGCATTGTTTTCCAGTATGAATTTTCCCATGCTTAGTGTAAAGAAAAAAATTATCATATCCATTAAATTCAACTTCCTCTCTTGTATAGTTTCCATCCTGAATAACGTAGTCTAGATTCGGTTTCAGATGTTTCCCAAGTGTGTCCAATGTGTGAGATCTTGGTGCTGAAGGGACACAAAGGTTTGAACACAGATAAGATACTATTTTCCCAAATGTATGATATTTGTGATCACTAGTTTCAAGGCTGCTTTGGTTTTGTTGGTGCCATTCTGTATGATCGTTGACTTGCCAGGCATCCCCTAGAAAGGAGACCAATGAATTCCAGTGATTGTGTAATAAAAAGGGTAGAATCTCGTAGCAAAGGCAAAGGAGAGAAGAGGAAGTGAGACTGTGGGTAGAGAATGAAAGTCTGAGACAGTTATAAGTGGAAGGAAGAAAAACATACAAAAAATTATAAGGGATAAGGGGTATGGGATGTACACAAACTGAGAAGGGAGGAAAATTTATGAATACTTGAGGGCATAAGAAAAGGGAGCTACGACTGTGGGTTGAGGGGATGGAGACAAGGAGAAACAGATAAATGGAAGATGCCAGGGAGACAGATTGACCAGGAAAGCAAGTTCCAGGATGAGACAGAGAGGGATCTGATCAAAGTACATAAAAGAAAGACATGTATTCTTTTAAAAGCCAAGCAAAAGAGTTCTATTATGGAAAGATTAAAAAGTAGAGGCAATTTTAAGGTAGGTGGGGAGTTTATGTCAGCTGTTTTGAGTCACATTCAGAACTTAAACAGAAATGTTGTCTGGAGAAAAAAATTTCTCCAGACAACATTTCAGAGGTGTATCCTTATTTTTGACCAACTAGGATATTACTTCCATTTCTCCCATAGGGCTGTTTTTTCACTTACGTGGATGAATCTGATTCTGGATTTCTTCCTCTATTATCCATGGTTTTCCTTGTTCCAAGTGGAAGAATGCATCTGCTTTGGTAACCTGATACCCTATTCAAGGAAAATTATAGAGGACCGATGGACCCAAATATTTGAGCTACAAGATTTCTGAAAAATGGCAAAAATTACATTTAAGGGGCTGAACAATTTGCATCTTGGCCAAGTTAAGGCCTTTTACTTTGGAGGTAAGAAAAAAACACTCTGTTAGAGGCCAGAAAGGTACTGAGAATCTATGATATGTGAAACTCAAGTCTTAAAAAAAGTAAAGCATTTATGAAGTCCCACCCCTTTATCACTGAGAAAGGAAAGGTAATTGATCGCCTACACTGGAGAAGCTGTACTTACCCACTGATAGTAGGTTGCTATAATTTTCCAACATCACATCTTGATACAAGTTCTTCTGAACAGGGTCCAGTAGCTGCCACTCCTCCCAGGTGAAACCCACAGCCACATCCTTGAATGACAGTGAGCCCTGTAATAGAACATTCCTGTTCATTCTAAAAGATTATCATTGGATAATACTATGAAGAAAAATAGAAATTTCTTATAATAACTTTTCCCATAAGTCATTTGACTGCCTTCCATGGAACTAGTTTTGTGTTATACTAACATGTACCAGTTTTGTATAGGGAAAAGGAAACATTTTTTATTTAGAAAATCCGATCTTTGTGCTTCCATTCAATCGTTCACTGACTCAAATGTTCAATCATTCATTCACAAAAGAGAAACACAAAGTTCTTAAATCCTTTAATCTAGAAACCTAGAAATCACTTACAACTTATTTGTATTCACCTATGTGTCAGACACTGTAGTAGGCATTCTTTATAAATAAAACTCACTTCTACCCTGAAGGAGCATTCTAGCTTGCAAAGAGAAAAATGAAAGGTGCTTGAGACTACAATATATTTATACAGGGCAAGTAAGATATATATACCCTTGTGGGCACCAATAGGGAGGAGGAAAAATGATAAAGGTTAAGCTTTATAGAGATGACTATGGAACTAATTCTTATGAGATCAATTCCATGTTTTACAGTGAGTTGCAGAGGGGAGAGGTGGCATGGCATTCCAGAAAGAAATAACATGAAAGATGGCACGAGGAAACCACAATATTCACCAGATAGGTTGACAAGAGAAGAGGGTATAGTGAGATAATAAGAAAAAGAGATAAAGAGGCACACTAACTCCAGACAAGAATGCACCTGTCCTATAGCTATGGATGATCCATGAAAAGGTTTACATGTGAGGGAATAATATGATCAACTTGGTGTTTTAGAAATAGATCTCTGTAGGAAAGTACTGCCCAATTATGAAAATGTTGTATCTGTCCTGTCCAAAATGGTAGGCACTGGCCACCATAGCCGTCAAGTAGCTATTGAACACTTGAATCCATAAATATATAATAAAGATATGTAAATAAAGAACACAAAGAATGGGATTAATCCCAGGATTGCAAGGTTGCCTTAATATTTGGAAATCAAAGTAATTCATCATATTAGCAGAATGAAGAGGAAAACTGATATGATGATTTCAATAGATGCTAAAAAATTTCTGACAAATTTCAATACCCATCTATGAAAATCACTCAGAAAACTAGGGAGAAAAAGCTAGGAAAGGAAGGGAACTTCCTTAATCAATATTGAAAGAATTCTGTACAGGGCTTAAATATCTGACCTCAAGACCTACCAAAAAGCTATGGTAATTAAGAATGTTTGGCACAGGCATAAGGGTCAACAAACACATCAAAGGAACAGCTCAGGAACACCCACAGTTATACAATTATTAGACCTTTCTGCAAAGGAACCGAAGCAATCCAATGGGGAAAGTCTTTCCAACAATGATGCTGACACTACTAAATAAATATATGGAAGAGAATGAACCTTGATTCCTGCCTCAGATCACATACAAATTAAAGTGAACTAAAGAGACACAAACACTACATCCAATGTGTACACCAGTATTTGATCCTGGGCTAGGAAAAAAAATGACAATAAGGGATATTTTAAAGGGAACTGGCAGAATTTGAACAGTCTATAAATTAGAGAATAGTCTTGTATTCATAATAAATTGTATCAATTGGATAAAAAACCAATTTTGATACTGTATTGTGGTTAAGTAAATGCCCTTTTTCTTATGAAATATAGACTACAGTATTTGGAGGCAAGGGGCATGTTGCTACAACTTATACTCAAATGTGTTCAGAAAAAAATGATGTGTGTGTGAATACAATTATGCATTGCTTAATGAAAAGGATACATTCTGAGAAACACATTATTTGGAGATTTTGTCCTTATGCGATCATTATAAAGTGTACTTACACAAACCTAGATGGTACAGCCTACTACATACCTAGGGTGATATAGAGTAGGCTACAAACCTGGCTGTGTTATTGTACTGAATACTGTAGGCAATTGTAACACAATGGTAAGCACTTATGTATCTAAACATATCTAAACATAGAAAAGCTACAGTAAAAGTATAGTATGAAAGATAAAAAATGGTATACCGGTATAGGGCACTTAGTATGAATGGAGCTTTTAGGACTGGAAGTTTCTCTGAGTGAGTCAGTGAGTGAGTGGTGAGTGAACGTGAAGGCCTAGGACATCACTGTACACTACTGCAGACTTTATAAACACGGTAGCACACTTAAGCTACACTCAATTTATAAAAAAATTTTCTTTCTTCAAGAATAAATTAACCTTGGCTTAGTGGAGGACCACTTCATATATACAGTTCATTGTTGACCAAAACATTGTTATGCAGTGCATGACAGTATATATATTCACTTATATGTTATATATTATAAATTATATACCTATGTTTACATATTCACACACATATGTAATTTTTCTGAGGTCATTTAAAGAGTAATATATTCATATATATTAAATATGTATATATGTACACATACACACATACTGTGATATAATAAGAATATATATATTTGGTCTCTGCTCCCAGTTCCTGACACAAGAGCTCCTGAATCCCTTGGGATTTCTTGGGTGATAGGAGCATCTTTTATTCCAATGGGACTGCTCTTGGGAGACTCCTGAACAGTCTCAGAATGAGGTCTGCCGGCCAGAGGAACCAACCATGTGATTACAGGGTTGGAACTTTAGACCCACCCTCTAATTTCCAGGGAGAGGAAAGGGGCTGAAGGTTGAACCAACCCCAATGGCCAGTGATGTAATCAGTCGTGCTTAGTAAGGAAGCCTCCATAAAAACCAACTCAAAAGGACCGGGTTGTAAGAGCTTCTGGAGAGCTAAACACATGGAGGAGCCCAGAGGGTGGCATACCTGGGAGAGGGCCTGGAAATTCCGAGTCCCTCCCCCACATACCCTGACCTACACATCTGCTCATCTGACTGTTCATCTGTATCCTTTATAACAATGTAGTAAATGTAAGTGTTTCCCTGAGTTCTATGAGCAAATTAATCTAATTCGAGGAGGGGGTTATAAGAACTCCCAATTTATAGCTGGTTGGTCAGAGGTACAAATCACAGCTTGAGACTTGTGACTGGCATCTAGAATGGGGGCAGTTTTGTGGGACTGAAACCTTCAACTTCATGTTCTGACACTAGTATCAGAATTGAATTGAATTACAGGGCATCCTGTTGGTGTCTGCTGGAGAATTGGTTGTTGGTGAGGAGAAATCCCCACATGTTTTGGTGGCCAGAGGTGAAGTATTCTGTGGTGAGTGGTGTGAGAGTTGGAAAGCACTTTGTTTTTTTCTGTCTCATATATATACTTATGCACACACACACAGCACGAGAGAAAGCAAGAGAGTGCATGCACACACAAGAGAAACAGAGAAAGGAATGATAAAGCAAATGTGGCACAGTGTTAACAACCGGTGAATCTGGGTTAAGGGTGTTCTTTGTAAAAGTTCTTTGTACTATTCTTGCAACTTTCCTGTAAGTTTGAAATCCTTCGAAGATAAAAAATGTTAAAGATTGAAAAGCAAAACACACCATTAGCAAAGTAAAATGAAAAATGAAAACCTGGGAAAAAATACTGAAACGTACATCTGATCTCTATCATATGTAACAAACTCTTCAAATTGAGAAGGAAAAGACCAACATCCAAAAAGAATTTTAAGCTGGGTGTGATGGCTGAGGCCTGTAATCCCAGCACTTTGGGAGACCGTGGTGGGAGGATCACTCGAGCCCAGGAGTTCAAGACCAGCCTGGGCAACATAGTGAGACCCCTGTCTCTGTGAAAAGAAAAAAAGAAAAGAAAACAAGGAAGGAAGGGAAAAAAGAAGGAAGAAAGAAGGAAAAAATATATTATGCTAAAAACCTTGGGTCTGAGTCTATATTTGAAAAAAACACAAAGAGAATTATGAGTAAATAGTATGAACAGTCAACTCGCAGAGGTAAATATGAATGGCTTTAAAGCACATGAAAAAATCCCTAACTTCACTTATAAGAGATATGCAAATTAAAACTATCGTGACACGGCATGTTTTTTTACCTATTGAACTGACAAGAATGAAAGATTCTAATGCTGTGCTAGTGTAAACTGCAACTAAGGACAGCAAAGCAGGAGAGAAGGGAATCTGCCTGGAGTGGGGGCAGGAAGGGGTGTGAACTCAAATATGGTGGTAAGGAAACGCTTCACTGAGAACCTGACACCTGAGGAACGACTTAAGGAAAGTCATGTGGATAACTCGGGAAAAGCATTTCAGATCAAGGGAAGAGAGAAGCCAAACATCCTGAGGCAGAAGCATGGCTGGTATATTCCGAGACAAGCAAGGAGGTCAGTACAACTCTTTGGGTGCCACCGGGATGCTCAAAGGTCATGCTCAAGGGAAATGCTCATGGAAGCATTTTGGATTTCGGATCTTCAGATTAGTAATGCTCAACTGCTACATATAATGCAAATATTCTCAAATCTTAAGAAAAATCTGAAATCAGAAACACTTTGGCCCAAGCATTTTGGATAAGGGATGCTCAACCAATTGACATTTGGGGACGTGTAGTCTTAGCTGTGGGGCCTGTACTGTGCATTGTAGGATGTTTAGCAGCATCTTAGCCTCTATCCACTAGGTCCCATTAGTACTCCTCCCCAGGTGTGACATGAAGAATGTCTCCAGACATTCCCAGATGTCCCCTGAAGGACAAAAATCACCCCAATGTGAGAAGCACTGATTTAAATAAAAAACTAAATTTCAAAGGCTGTTTGGAGAAGACCATTTGATGGTCATAGAATCCCTCTATTCTTCTTGATAATCTAGGTTTTATCCCTAGATAAAATCAGTCCACCAGGAAGCTGTGGGTTTGGGCCCCTGAAGCACTCTGATTGCTGAGTTTGGCTTTGGTATGACACCACCGGCTTGTCTGAGGCCTGCTCAGAAACAACCAAAAGAAACTTACCATTTAATTCAATAGTGGTTTGCTATTGCGGGCACTAGACTCTACATGATCTAAGTAATGACTCGTTAAAGAAATGTCTTTTTACTTAATTGACGTGAAATATTTACTTTCCTAGAGGCGCTTTCTACTTAGGGCAAAGCAAATGATTTCTTATGTCCATGTGGTATACTGTATGTCCTAAACATAGCCTCGGTAATATCTCATGGTCCCAAACCCCTTCTACCGTGTCACCTTGCCACTCCCACACCAAGAGGTGGAGCCTATTCCTCCCCCCTTGAATCTGGCCAGTCTTAGTGATTTGCTTGCAACCAACAGAATGCAGCAGAAGTGACTCTACAGACTTTTGAGGCTAAGGCAGAAAAGGCCACGTAGCTTCACCCTGGGCCTCTCAGGATTCAACATCGTGCTGTGAGAAGCTCAAGCCATGGGAGGAGGCCAGGCAGAGCTGTTCCGGTCACCAGCCTCAGCCGAGCCTAGCTTTCACGTCAACCCAGCCTGGGAAACAGATATGGGAATGAAGAAGCCTTCAGATGATTGCAGCCCCCAACCTTTTGAGTCTGCTTACCTGAGATTCCAGACATCATGGTATGGAAATAAGCTGTGCAGTGAGATTAATACAGTGAGTCTGCATTGTCCACACACTGCACATTCCAAAGAAAGTTTTAACCCTTGCCTGTTCCTGGGAAGTAACCTTTAAGTCCTTATAATATATTGCTTGATAAGAACATCTTTATTTACCTGGGAGCCTTGGGCCACACCAGACAGTCTATGCTAACAATGTACGGTGGATGCTAAGGTCCAAACTTCGGCAGCTTGACCTCTGAAGGGGCCGGAGACTGAGGTCAGCCACTCCTGTGGTCAGCCTTGCCCACATGGCTGAACCAACATAAGAACCCTGGACACCAGGCTCAAGTGAGCTTCCTTGACTAGCAACTCTCCATGCATATTGTCATTGTCCCAAATCATTAGTGGGATAATTAAGCACTGTCACGTAACTCCATTAGGAGAGGTCAATTGGAAGTTTTCTCACTGCACCTCCTAAACACCCTGCCCTATGTACCTTTCTCTGTTGCTGATTTTAATCTGTATCCTTTCACTGTAATAAACTATACACATGGGTATAACAGCTTTGCTGAATCCTGTGAGTTATTCCAGAAAAAAACTGAACCTGAAGGTGGTCTTGGGAACCCCAGAACACATAAACCATTACCATGGAGCCCTGTCTCACTTCCTGACTCACTGAATCCATGAGGATGACAAAAATAAATTCACACCCCACTTGGTTTGGGGTGGCTTTTTATACAGCAACAGATTAACTGGAACAGGGAATACAGTCATGTGCCAAATAACGATATTTTGGTCCATGACAGACAACATATATGAGGGCGGTCCCATCAGATTAGAATGGAGCTGAAATATTCCTATCTCCTAGTGACACAATAGCCATCATAATGTCGTAGCACATGGCATTACTCATGGGTTTGTGGTGATACTGGTGGAAATAAATTACTGTGCTGCCAGTCATATAAAAGAAAAGCACACACAATTATGAACAGTATATAATACTTGATAATAAACAACTGCTACTGGTTTATGTATTTTCTGCATAATACTTTTTATTATATTAATAATTTTAGAGTATTTTTATTCTTCTACTTATAAAAAAAAAGTTAACTGCAAAAGAGCCTTAGGCAGGGCCTTAAGAGGTATTCCATAAGAAGACATTGATATCCTAGGAGATGACAATTTCATGCATTTTACTGCCCCTGAAGACCTTCCAGTGGGACAAGATGTGTAGGTGGAAGACAGTCACTCTGATAATCCTGACCCTGGGTAGGCCTAGGCTAATGTGTGTGTATCTTAGTTTTTAACAAAAAAGTTTAAAAAGTAAAAATAAAAATGTTAAAAGTAGAAAAAAGCTTATAGAATAAGGATATAAACAAAGAAAATATTTTTATACTGCTGTACAATATTTGTGTTTTATGCTAAGTGTTATTATAAAAGAGTCAAAAAGTTAAAAAAAATTAAAAAGTTTATAAAATAAAACGGTTATAGTAAGCTACACATAATTTATTATTGAGATTTTTTTAAATATAAATTTAGTGGAGCTTAAGTGTCCAGTGTCTATAAAGTCCACAGTTGGCCGGGCGCGGTGGCTCACACCTGTAATCCTAGCACTCTGGGAGGCTGAGGTGGGTGGATTGCTCAAGGTCAGGAGTTCGAGACCAGACTGAGAAAGAATAAGATCCCATCTCTACTGAATATAGAAAGAAATTATCTGGACAACTAAAAATATATATATAGAAAAAATTAGCCAGGCATAGTGGCGCATGCCTGTAGTCCCAGCTACTCGGGAGGCTGAGCCAGGAAGATCACTTGAGCCCAGGAGTTTGAGGTTGCTGTGAACTAGGCTGATACCATGGCACTCTAGCCCAGGCAACAGAGCCAGACTCTGTCTCAAAAAAAAAAAAAAAAAAAAAAAAAGAAAATACAAAAATAAATATAAATAAAAGTCCACAGTAGTGTACAGTGATGTCCTCGGCCTTCGCATTCACTCACCACTCACTCACTGACTCACCCAGAGCAACTTCCAATCTTATAAGCTCCATTCATAGCAAGCAATACAGGTGTACCATATTTTATCTTTTATATTATATTTTAACTGTACCTTTTCCATATTTAGATACACAAATACTTACCATTGTGTTATAACTGCCTACAGTATTCAGTACAGTAATATTCGGTATAGGTTTTTAGCCTAGAAGCAATAGCCTAGGAGCTATAGCACATAGCCTAGGTGTGTAGCAGGCTCAACCATCTAGGTTTATCAAGTACACTCTATGATGTTTGCACAATCATGGAATCGCCTAATGATGCATTTCTCAGAATGTATCCCCATCGTTAAGAGATGCATGATTGTATTAGGGACAAGTTTGCCCCCCAATTTTATTAACTGTTTAAAACCTCACGGACTATAACCTATGTTCTAACTTTAAGCTCTCTGTATAAACATATGATTTACATATTCCCATTGCAACCTGGCTATGAAGTTGATCTTTAATCTCATTATATTTTTACTGAATTCTGATATTTACTTATTCATGCTGTATCTGGCATAGAGTACTGCTCATAAATATTGAACATACATATTATTCTTTTAATTATAAGTATTACTAAACTTCTTCCACTTTTCATTGGAAAACCAAGTGAAAATTAATATATAATTAACAACTCACTTGGGACTTGGACATTTTCTGAAGCCCTTAGACCCAGCCAGCAACTCTATTATTTGCTCTGTTGTTGACTCTGGGCTCTTCTCTGAAGGTGGTCTCTGGTCAAGGATAAAGTGCTGATCTTGGTACCTTTACTTCTTTCCCTCATAGGAAATATTTTATCCCAGGAAGCCAGGACCTGAGGATTAAAGAAATTCACTGCTGTAATAAACTGTGAGTATAACAGATTTTCTGAGTTGTGTGAGTCCTTATATCTATGTGTGTTTTAGATACACACACACACCCACACACATATATATGTACAATTATCTAAAAGTTAAGTGTTTTCTTCAGGTGGTAGGTTAATATAATAATTTAAAGAAAAAATAATACATATTACCTGATAGTTGATTTTATAATAAACAGAGAAAGGAGGAAAAATGTCAATAATGAGAACTTTTTAAAAGCCTAAAAACTCCAGAGAAACAGGTATAAACAGTGGACTACTGTTTGCAAATCTGTTTTGTGTACCTACTATATGCTGGACATGTTTATTATATGAGTAGTTACTATTGATTTTTTAAAAAAAACAAATGGGAAAAGGATCTCAGAGAGGTTGAGAAACTTGCCCAAGTTCACACAGTAAGTACAAAATCCAGACAAAATCTAGGTCTGCCCAAATCCCAAGTCTGTATTCTCTTTTCTCCATGTCAAACTCATCTGCAGGTGTTCTGATTGCTTACCTAGAAAACCTATAAGAATCAATTAAAACACATGAGTAATAATAAAATAGTTCAGTAAGGAAAAGAAAATATTTCTTAAATTAGCTGCTTTTCTACCTACCAGAAAATAAAAAATAACAAAAAGTTCAAGCAGAAATAAAAGCCATTTGCAATAGCAGCAAAAATATATATGATCTGGGACTAAAGATAACAAGTAATGTCCAGACCTATATGAGTATTTTAATATGTCTTGTCTACCTAAATTATTGCAAAGATTTAATGTAATTTCAGACAACACTGCAAGGGAATCCACGTATATAATACTATGCAGATATCAACAAGGCTCTGTACCAAAATCAGTAATGGTGGAACAATTTTATCATATAAGGTTAAGTTTTTTAAAAAAGCAAATTATAAACTACTTATTCAGTGTTATCACATTTTTACAATAAAACAAATCACAGAAATATATGGAAAAGAAAATAAAACAAAATGATAACAATGTGTATCTCTGGGTATCAGGATTTGGGATGTGGGAATGTCCCCTTATGTATCAGAAGGACCTAAAAGGGAAGAACCTAGAGAAATAAGCAGTAAGTTTGAAGACCAGAGTCCCAGACACCACGACTTTCATAATAAGTATTTCACCTTAGATTTGTTTGGACCCCAGTCATTTCAAAGCAATTTTCATTGTTGTGGAAACATTGAGGATGTTCATCACATGGGGTGATTCAGAGGACAGAGGAAGTTGGAAAGCAGGTTTTAAAGAAGGCAGTAACGTCATCTATGAGAAGTCAGTGAGCTTGAAAATCCCAACGCCCTCCAAAACCCAAAGACTTTCTGAAGTTCCAACTCCCACAAATCTCTTGGCTACCAATGCCTACCTACATCATAATTAAAATATGGATCACACAGCCAGCCCAGATCATTCTGATTTTGAGTCCTACTATCACTGTCCGTCCTATCAAGACCCAAACACTCAGACCCTCCAAGACAAGGCTGCCCCAAACAATGACCTCTTCACAAGGCCGCCTCGCTCACTGACCATCCCCAAGGATGCACCGATCACTGACCTCCCTCTTCCCAACTATATCCAAACATTGACCTAAGCCAAGAACATCTCAGTCACTGACCTCACCTGTTGGACACTTCCATTAGTGACCAATCTTCCCAGCACATCCCAAGGATTCGCCTTTTTCCAAGGATGCTTCAGTCGCTGACACCGTCCCTTTCTCCTTGAGGCTGCCCCAAGAACTGAGCCTCCCCAAGAAGACCTTCTTAGGCACTGACACACCCCCAAAGACACCCAGCTTCCTTCAAGGGCACCCCAATCACCGACCCCAAGAACATCCCAACGACTGAACCACTCCCGAAGTCACGCCAATCACTGATCTGCCTCCAAGACCACCGCAGTCACTAACCCCCTACAAATTCTAACCCCAAGCACTCACATTCTTCTCCAGCCCACCCCAGTCCCGGACCACTCTCAGGCCGTCACCATTCCCTACCCTCCCGCTTCTCCACAACGGCTTCTACTGTCACGGACTCCCCACAAACTCCCCTACCATAAACCCCAAATCTCCTCGAATCCAGCTCCTGATTCCGCTCCCGGAAGGCGAAACTGAAACCCCCGTTAAAAGATCCCTTAGCGCACCGGCTGGGTCGAAAGAGCCACGATCCATCACTACTGCTTCAGACTCACAAGCCGGGCGCTCCACCTCACTCGTCAGGTTTAACCTCCGTAACCTCCGAGTCTGCAGGCTGCCAACCATCACCCCGGGTAGATTCGGTTAGGATTTCGGGTCTTTTAGACAAAGACTCTGAGGAAGAGTATGGCGGCGCCCTTTAACCGATTTATTTGGGGATCGCCATCTTGGAAAGTTGTCCGTACAACCGCTTTCCCCACCCAAGATAACCATTGGTCCCCGTGAGCAAATCGCAAGCACCGCAAAGGGCGATGCGCATGCGCATGCGCCTGCCCCCTCGCGGGTCCAATCCCCTTCACAAGCGGCACCAAACCCAACATGGCCGCCGCTGCTTTGCCTCTGGTAGGTACGAAGCTGCACCTTACAGCGGGCGCGGCCATCTTGATGAAGGTGTACATATCCGTACAGAAAAAAGCGCCCTCCTTTAAGGGTAAGGAGCACGTGAAACGGGCTACGGGAATGCTTCTGGAGGATAATATAGGGTTTGGAGATAACTGTGGGCAGAGTCAGCCCAACCAGTTGAAGGAAAAGATGTCTCCCAGCCAGGATTAGTGGTGGGGGTTGGGTGTGTCAACGGAAAAGAAGCCAAATTCTGTAAAATAATTTTAAAGAGGTTTATTCTGAGCCAAATTCAAGGACCATGACTGGTAGCCACAGCCAAGAAGCCCTGAGCAAGTAGACTCAGGGTGGTTGGGTTACAGTTTGGTTTTATACATTTCAGGGAGGCAGGGGGTTACAGGTAAAGTCATAAATCAGTACATTGGTTTGACCTGAAAAGGTGGGCCATCTTTAAGTGGGGCTTACAGGTTTTAGGTGGGTTTAAAGATTCTTTGACTTGTAACTGGTTAAAGACTCGAAGCTTTTTCTAAAAGCTTGGAATGTTTTAAGATAAGGCAGTCTGTTAATAAGAGACAATGGATAAGCAAAACTGTGGCGTGATCATACCATGCATTACTACTCAGCAATAAACTACAGATGCATGCAACAAAATAGATAAATCTCAACAACCTTATTTTGAGGAAAAGAAGCCAGAGAGAAAAAGAGTACATACTCTGTTATTCTACTGATAGGGAATAACAAGTGGTCAGGAAGAATTGAAACCCTCATACACTGCTGGTGGGAATGTAAAATGGTGCAGCCACTTTTAAAAATAATCTGGCAGTTTCTCAAACAGTTAAACATACAGATTGTATAACCCAGGAATTTCACTCCTAGGTTTATAGCCAAGAGAAATGAAAACATATGTCCACACAAAAAATTTTCACATTAATGTTTATAGCAGCATTATTTATAATAGCATCAGATGGAAACAACTGAAATATCCATCAGCTGGAGAAGGGAAAAATAAAATGTGAAAGGACAGTGGGTCTTGTGAGCGAAATAAATCAGCTCTGCGCCGTCTCCACCTAGCAGGCAGTTGCCCTGCTGGGCACTTGGACTTTCCTGTTTGGGGCTATTCTATTAGGATTGAAGGTGCTATGAACAGTTTTGAGAGTCTTTGTGAGAACACGTTATTTCATTACTCTTGAGTAACTATGTAGGAATGGAAATCGGGCGTATTATCGTTCCTGGAGTTACCTCAATTATTCCTTCCAGAATTTCTGGCTTTGGTTCTCAGAAAGCCCCGCCCTTAACATTGGCTCCACCGCCGCCCTGCCCCCGGAAGGGAAGCCTGTATCCCCGTAAGTATCAAGGAACCTGCGGCCCGGGGCTTAAGGTGCCAGGAACTGGGGTGGTTTCAGTGCTTCTTCTTCTTTACCTTTTCGAACTCTCCCTGGCTACTTGGCCAATAACGGCCACTTCGTCTTCTGTACGTCCAGTATTTAAACATGGCCGCCCCGAGGTCTGTTACGAGTTGGGCGCGGACATATTAGCTGGGCGAAGACAGGCCGGAAATCCAGTCGTCTGTGCTCCGTACAAACGCTTTAGACCCTCGTCGGGCGCCGTAGGCCGGCTGGGAGGCTGGGCTAGGGCCCAGAAGTGGAAGAACTCTCGGAAGTGTAGCCGACTGGGAGGTCCCGGTGGCTTCACGAATAAATCGGGTTAGTGTGTGGTTCTCTCTGTGGAACAGGATAAGGGGACGAGGGTGTCTGAGTGTCCGTGTAGTGGAGCTGTGGGGCTCGTCGGGGGAGCGGAAGCAAGCGGGAGTTTGTGACCGAGCTGTCTGCGGCTAGGGCGGTTGGGAGTCAGTCCCGAGGGACTCCGGGGCTCAGTGATTTAAAGGTTCTGTCGCGATCGGCGACGGAAGGTCCGTGGTCAGGGCCACTCTTGTCCGTAAGGCGCAGTGATTGAGGACTGGCGAGGGCAGTGGTTTTGTCAGTGCAAGCGGTGTCAGATTCGGGTTCCGGACTTATTACAGTTTGTGGCTCGGTGAGAGAGAAGCCCAGGCTCGTCAAGGTCGGTGAACCCGGTGTGTGGTCCAGGTTTCGGGATTGCGACCAAGGGAGTGTGACCAGTGTTTAGGGAGGGCTAGATGTGTCAGTCACTGGGAGACTTGTGAAGGCTGAAGCTTTGGCTGTCCAGGGACCCTGTTGGTGTGTGTGTTCAGGTTCCACGTTACATATCCCTTCAGCTCTTTACATTTCTTTGCAAGTACTAGTTTATAAATCTCCTTTGGCTTCTCACATTTCTTCTTTCTCTTGTCCCCGTACATAGGAAAGCTTTGGGAAGATCAGGATTGATCAAACCTAAAAAGGTAAAGTGTCTATTAAAGAAAAGGATTTTGTCCTTCTTCCTGCAAGTGTACTGTGTGAATGTATGTATGTACACGAATAAGTAAATATTTCCTATCAGGTTCATTCTGTCATAAGTAAAATAATACTTCTCTTACCCCAAAATGATGACTTTTCCCAGTGATGAGTTTTTATAACATTTTTGTGCATTTCAATTTCAATTTTCATTTTTCTATGCTTGATTTTCACAATTCAAATAAACTATGAAACATTGGTATAATTTTCCATATTTAATTTTATATCAAACGTTTATCTAGTGAACATAATTTTTGTTTAACAATTGTTTTTAAAATATTTCTGTAATAATATACCATCAAGAGGCAAACTTGCACCATTATGACTGGAATCACTAAGTATATGCATATATTTAGATAGAATTTCAGTAATTAAAAAGTTCAGTTATCACTTTTAAGAGCAGATTTTGATTCCAAGGGTGTTATTTCCTCACCCTCTTTCCACCTTGATTTTTAACTTTTTCCTCATTGTAAATGGTGTATTTTAATTTTGACCTCCTCTTCTAATTTACTGTTACATAGAAGAGCAGTTAGTTTTAAAAAATATGTATATTGTTTCTGGTCACTTTACTGAATGTTTATTAAATTTTCCTCCAACATTTTGTCACAATTTTTTTTTTTACTAATGCAAAATATTTATTCCAAGTTAGTTATTTTATTCAATAGTTTCCCCCTCAGCAGACCTGTGATAACCACATCTTTTAAATCTGTAAATAATGTTATCTAAATAATCTTAATCTTTGAAATCTCATAAAAATTTACACTTTACAATCCACCCTGAATATCAAGGCTGCAGTAATAACACATTTTTTTATATACAAATATTTGACAGCTTTACCCAAAAAGGAAAAAGAAAAACAAACAAAAACCCACATATGCTTGGTTAAAGGCTAAAGTTACCCAAGCGGTCAAAAATAAAATATCCAAATTATTAGCATTAATTTAATACAATTATAACTTCAATAGTCATTTTGCCATTGACAATGATTACTTGAGCACAAGGGTGAGTGACCCAAGGGCTGGTAGTAGAAGCTGTTGCTGCAGACCACTGTCTCCTCTTTGCACTGCCAGCTCCCACCTGTGTATCACCCAGTATGTACTGTGTGTGTGTGCGTGTGTATTAAAGAATTTTACAGGCCCAGGCGCAGCGGCTCACGCCTGTAATCCTAGCACCCTGGGAGGCCGAGGCAGACAGATCGTTCAAGGTCAGGAGTTCGAAACCAGCCTGAGTGAGAGCGAGAGTGAGACCCGTCTCTATTAAAAATAGAAAGAAATTAATTAGGCTGGTCCAATGGTAGTGGGTTATCAGAACTTATTAACATTAGTGTCACTAAAGTTGATATTCAAACCCCCCACCACTGCTAAATTTGACTGGCTTTAAAAAAAAAAAGAAAGAAATTAATTGGCCAACTAAAATATATAAGAAAAAATTAGCTGGGCATAGTGGTGCATGCCTGTAGTCCCAGCTACTCGGGAGGCTGAGGCAGAAGGATCACTTGAGCCCAGGAGTTTGAGGTTGCTGTGAGCTAGGCTGATGCCACGGCAATCTAGCCAGGGCAACAGAGTGAGACTGTCTCAAAAAAAAAGAATTTTACAGTTGAATACCTGTATGCCTGCCACCTAGGTTTTATCATAATTTTATTGTATTTCCTTTCTCTCTATCTGTGTGGTGTGTGTGTATACACATGCACATATATGTAGATATGTACCACCCTCTCTACTTATCATTAATCCACCCTTAACAATATTGTTTTGGTTTTTTGGTGCATTTCAAAGTAAGTTGCAGACATTCATACATTTGCCCCTAAATATTTCAGTAAGTATGTAATAATTGAGTTCTACTGATAGCTTTTTCTAATAACAGCTTTATTCTTCACATACCATGTAATTCACCCATTTAAAATGTAGTGGCTTTGTGTATATGCAACCATCACCAAAGTGAATTCCTCACCTCAAAAAGAAACCCCATACCCCTTTCACTACCATGCCTGATCTCTCCCTGCCCCCCAACCTCTGAACAACCATTAATCTACTTTCTGTCTCTATAGATTTGCCTATTCTAGACATTTAGTATAAATATTGTCATATGATATGTGATCTTCTAGGACTGGCTTCTTTCATGTGGCATAATGTTTTTAAGGTTTGTCTACTTTGTAGCATGTATTTGTACTTCATTTCTTTTTCTACCTGAATAATAGTCTATGGTATGAGTATAGCACATTTTGTTTATCCTATCATCAACTGATGGGTATTTTTGTTGTTTCTCCCTTTGGGCTATTATAAACAATGCTGCTATAAATGTTTGTGTACAAGCTTTTGTATGGACATGTTTTTATTTCTCTTGTATATAAACCTAGGAATGGAGTTGCTAAGTCATATGGTAAATATGTTTTACTGTTTGAGGAACTATCAGACTATTTTCCAACTAACATTCCCACTAGCAATATTTGAGGGTTTCCATTTACAAACACGTTATTTTGGGGGTTTTTTAGTTATAGCCATTCTAATGGGTATGAAGTGGTATCTCACTATGGTTTTGATTTGCATTTCTCTGAAGACTTATGATGTTGAGCAACTTTTGTTGCTTATGCTATGTATAACTTATGTGCTTATGCTATGTATAACTTATATCTTTTTTTCACTAAGTTCAGATTGTTAGTATTTTTAATATTAATAGCTACATAGTATGGATGTGTGTACTTTTATTCATCCAATTAATCCTCTATTAATAGACCTAAATAATATTTTTACGTCAACTTTGCATGTATGTGTCACTAGTTCCTTTGCAAAGATTTCTAAAGTGGATTTTGGGTCTTAGTAAAATCTCTATTGAGAGTATTCAATACAAAATGTTAAACTATTCTCAAAATTGTTTAGTCATTTAAAACTGATAAAGAAGTATGTATGTTTTGGAATGCTGTCAATTTTTAGATATAGGTTCTGTAATCAGCCATCTTACTAAAAACTTAATTAAACTTTTGATATATGTTCAATTGAATCTGTGAAACTCTAACTCTTCCTTAGTCATATTGGGAAGCATAATTTGTTTCCTCTTGTATTGATTATTCTTACTTGATTCTTTATCAAATTAATTGGGTAGCTTTTTCAGAATAGTTAAGATAATGGTGATGATACTGCTCATCCTTGCCTTGCTCTTGACTTTAGAGAAAGTACTTATATTATTTTAATAAATGTATATAGGATGTATTTGATTTTTTTAATTGAGATGAAATTTATAAGACATTATGAATTTTCACACACATAATGAAATTAACCATCTTAAAGTCAACAATTCAGTGGCTCTTAGTACATTCACTATGTTGTGCAAGCTCCACTTCTATCTAGTTATAGAACATTTTCACCACCCCAAAAAGGAAACCTTGTACCCATTTGGCAGTCACTCCACATTCCATATTCCCCCTACCCCAGACCATGGCAGCCACCAATGTGCTTTCTGTCTCTATGGATATTTCTGTCTATAATCTGGATATTTCATATAATGGAATCATATAATATGTGACATGTTGTAACTGGTATTTTTCACTTAGCATAATGTTTCTGTGGTTGTGCATTGTGTGCTAAGTACTCTAACCATCGATAGCCAGGCTGTCTACAACTCTGCCTTAGTCTTCACTTCCTGCTTGTACTGAGCCTAGATTTAAGCCAGAGGGAAAGCTTAGGGTTGTCTCAGGTCTTTTCTCAGTAGGTATCCTGCGCTATGAGTGCATGTGGCTTTGTAAATTCCCCAATCTACATGAGCCCTTTTGAATGGCATAATTTCCCCAAGAAACTCTCTTCCCAGCTTTTGTATAGTATGTATTTTTGGACAGTAGAGTTAATCTCTAAGCCTTAGGTTTATGTTAGATTTGGAAATAAAGATTTATACCTTATAAGCGTGTAATGAAGCAGGTGGTAATGATAAATTTAGGTAAGACAGTGCCTATGCTTTGCTTAGCACATTTGCCTTCACAGTGAGGTGTGCCTGCACATATGTGTACAACTTTTGAACAGGTACACAGACCCACATGGTTTTAAACAAACAAATGTCCAGGTCCTCACCTTCTGTATGTCCTCTTTCTAAAAATTGGCCTCTCTAAGAATCGCTTGGTATTATGGCATCATATTGTTCTGGTTCTCCTTCCCCATCTCCTCCTTCATAGTCACCCCACTTCTTCACAAAAGAAAGACATTATCTGTCTGTACATCTAGAATCTTATGTGTTATCACCCCAGGGCATAAAATCTTCTGGGGCCCCAAATAAAGCTGAGCAGCAGTGACAGCACCTGGGCTCAGAGGGAATGTACACTCAAAGTGAATTTACTCTTCAGCCCACAGGTCCCGGCACCAGGACACATCAAGTGAAGTGAGGAAGAGGTTCCAGGACCTGGATGTCATCATTTGTGGGGACACCATTACCAAAGACTAAGATTTCCTACCAGAAATTTAGGACAGTTCAGGAAGAGACTACAGACGCAGCATCCTAGTTACTGGCCACTTCCCAATAACAGAAGAAAATGATCAAGGCCCAGGTGACTTTTGGTTTGTTCTATTCTTTTTTTCATTAAGGGACTGATTTCTGGAGGACTTTAAAAATCAGTTGAATTAAATGGAAAAGTATACACTGGTAAAGCAGGATTTGTACAGAAATAAACGTAGGCCCTAACTTCAACATCTAGACAAGGTAGGATCAGGAATATATTGTTCATAGATACAGCATCATAGAAATACTTGGTTGTCCCTGGTTCCTGGCACAGAGCTCCTAAAACTCTTGGAATTTCCTGAGTGATAAGGGTGATAGGAGCTTCTTTTGTTCTAATGAGGTGACTCTTGGTGGACCCCTATATAACTTAAGGATGAAGGCTGGTTGCCAGAAAATCCAAGCTTTGATGAGAAGCTTGGGACTTTCATCCTTACCTGCAACGTCTTCCAGGGAGGAGAGAGGAGCTGGAGATTGAGTTCAGTCAGTCACCAATGGTCAATGATTTCATCAATCAAGCCTATGTAACAAAGCCTACATAAAAACCTGTAAACAATGGGGTTTGGAGAACTTCTGGGTTGGCGAACACATCGAGGTCCTGGGAGGGTGGTGTGTGCAGAGAGAGCATGGATATCCACACCATCCCCGCACCCAACCACACCTTGCCCCATGCATCTCTTTCATTTGGCTGTTCCTGAGTTGTTTCCTTTATAAAAATCCAGTAATAGTAAGTAAAGTGCTTTCCTGAGTTCTGTGAGCTGTTTTGATGAATTATTGAACCTGAGGGTGGGTTGTGGGAAGCCCTAAATTTGTAATGAAGTCAACAGAAGAGTGAGTAACCTGGGGACCCCACACTTGTGACTGGTGTCTGAAGTGGGATTGGTCTTGTGAGACTGAGCCCTTAACCTGTGGGGTCTTCACCAACTCCAGAGTTGGTGCTGGAATTGAATCAAATTGTTGGACACCTTTTTGGTGGTGGAGAATTGAAGTGGTTGATGGGAGGGAAATCCCACTCATTTGATGCCAGAAGTGTCGTGAGTAAAAACAGCACAATAGAATTCACAGTGCCTGATGTTGAAACATATGTGTGACAGGAACATCCTGTGGTCTATCTTAGCCGCTGTCAGCGTTCTTGTCTACTGACTGGTCTCTGGCACAGTCATCGTAATTCAGAGAAGCAAACTAGTCTTGAGTGAGGTCCACAGGATATGCACTAACTGAGGAGAAAGCATAGTTCCTGGGAGAGGTCACTATTACATGGCATTTAGGTGTCAGGACATTTTTTGAATGGTTCTTCCTAGAGGTAATATGACAGATGGTGTCTTTAACGTCGCCTTGCTCAGTAATGCCCACGCACGCGCTCCTCAGAGCGCCCTTCTGAGAAGACAACCAAGGGAACTCGTGGACCCATAGTTGGCTTGCCCATGAAAGCATAGCAAGCCGTGACCCAACGAACCCAGTGTTATCGGCGCTGCTTAGTGTCAACTCTGGAATTAAGAACCTACAATGCCAAGGAAACATGGAAAGATTGCGTCGACGTTTCTAACGGCTCCTGTGTCGGAACCAGGTTACGCCCTGATCTCTGTGTTCTCGAGTACGAGATTGGGCAGCCTACGCGACCTGGTCGAAGTACGTACTTGCTTGCGGTAGCGCGGGCATGCGTTTGCTTGTCGCATCAGAGGTTTTCTTTAGAACCTCTCCTATCCTAAGATACGTCGCAACACTTCTTTTTTTCAGTGGTCGTGCACTAGTCCACTCTCTCTCTCACCCGCGCTACGGTGCTTCTCCTTTATACCTTTTAAGACTACGTGTCAGGTTGGTCAAATGTACAATGTCACCCCATTTTACTACCGGTACCCAGAAAAACTCAGTGACCCTTACCAGAGTATCGGATAGTCAGACCAAAAGAGCTTTTTCCTTTAGCTGCTACCTGGGAAGCTTTAACAAATGACGTAGCTAGCTGTCAACCTCTCCTGGTCACTAATTCACGTTGCGTGTACATCTTACAGTGTGTGTGATGCGTGAGTTAGAGTGAGTGACGTCATAGTCATGTGACATACTGGCATTTTGTCGCTTTGGTCAAGCTACATGGACTCTCATACTACTCGAGAGCTACTCCCCATCCGAGATTACTACGACGCTCGCAAAATTTCTGTTTCCTAGACATTGCAACATTGTAGCACAATTACTTCTCTTAAAAGTAAATTTAGTATCAACTAAGTGTACAGTATTTATCACCAGTTTACAGCTAGCTGTAGCAGTCAATGTACTCGAACGGCTTCACAGTCCGCTCACCGCAACCTCGACCCAGCAGCAATTTTCCAGTCGTAAGCTCTTCCATGTCTCACAGCTGCCACTAGACAGGAGGTGTACGCGGCCATTTTCACTCTTGATCACACATCAATCTGTTTTACTGTTCCCTCTTTCTAATCTCTACGGACTACCGTGTTTAGACTCATACCCACAATACTACATCCTGGCTGTTACAATCTGCTACAGTACCTCCAAGTTAGCATCACAATTGCCTACAGTAACTGCTGTACAGGTTTGTAGCCTCAAAGCAACAGACAATATCATATAGCCTAGGTGTGTAGTAGGCTATGCTATCTAGGTTTGTGCAAGTACTCTCTGTGATGTTCACACAATGATATAATTGACTAATGACATTTTTCAGAATGTATCCCTGTCGTTAAGTGGTACATGACTGTGTATGTGTATGTATATATGTATTTACAGAAGTATCTATCTTAACCCTTAGATCCTTGGATAGTACCTTTCCATTGTGTCTCCTCTTTTATACACTAGATTGGTAAATGCTAGACTTCAACTATCCTCCATATTTATTAATCTATCTTTTATATATTATATCATTTTGTCCTTGTGCTGCCTTTTGGGTAGTTTCTTCAGATCTGCTTACCAATTCACTAATTATCTCTTCAATGTATGCTGCTAACACGTTTGGTAATGTAAACATAAATAATTTTAAAAATATGTGTGTTAATGGTTTTTAAGTAATACTATATATTTTCTTAGTCTTCCTAATAATACTTAATATTCTCTTCTTCCTTGGACATATTTTAGAAAGATTCTTTTATTCTTCCTAACACATAAAATATACTTATTTAATATGCAGTATCTTGCTATTATAGTGTCTGAAGTTTCTTCATCTTTGATTCTGATATTGAGTATGAAGGTTAATGTTGAATGTAGGAATGTGCTTTATTCATACTGATATTGTTACAAATATATTTAGTGCTTGGCAAATATGTACTCAAAGAAAAAGAGGATTAGCAAGAGCATCAAATGATTGGTTCTCACAGAAACTTCTGATTTATTAATTGATGAATAACTGTACTATTACAGAATATTTTGCTAGAGATAGATTTCGAATATAGATAGATTTTGGAGATCGGTTTTGCTTTTATTACAAAACATGTTTTAAAACAAGTCACAGCACCTGGAATATAGATGCAACCTATATGGTAAAAATGATAAGAACAATGTCCTTCATATTCTATGTTAATAAAAGAGAAACACTTCATATTAAGCAGGACTCTGTTTTTATAGGAATTGCTGACGCTGGAGGATGTGGCTGTGGAGTTCACCTGGGAGGAGTGGCAGCTCCTGGACGCTGCTCAAAAAGACCTGTACCGGGACGTGATGTTGGAGAACTACAGCAACCTGGTGTCAGTGGGTAAGGACAGTGCCCCATGTTGCTCAGAAGGTGCCCAGTCATCGTCCTTTCCTTCCTCAGCTTCTGAAAGCTCCGGAGGGCCTATGGATCTCTGCAGTCGTAGATTTTTCAGTCCTTTCTCTGGCCCCAAATAAGAGAATATGTGTCCCCTTTTGGGAGAAAAGCCTTTGCTTTGTAGACATGTAAATTATGTAGTTTCTAAAAAGACATGTAAATTATGTAGTTTCTAAAATAGAACATCCTCCCTTGTTGACAGACAACAGCTTAATTCAATGAGCCTAAGTCTTCTGTCATTTCCCATGAACAGGGTATCAAGCCAACAAGCCAGGTATGTTCTCCAAGTTGGAACAGGGAGAACTATGGTCAGTACAAGATGAGATCCACAGTCGAATCTATCCAGGTGAGTGGGTGAGAGCCAGCAAGGAGGGTGGCAGAGCAAGTGGCATGCTAGATGTTTAGAAGCATCTCAACCATGAGGGGGTCTGAGGGTGTGTGGATAGAGCCTCCATGCATTCCTCTTCGCACACAAGAACTCTTTTAAGTGTTTAGAGGAATGTCTACCTCTTTTTCTCCTCTTGGATTTGATCACTATTTATTTCTGCTAGATCCTGATTTTTTTTCCTCAAAGTTTCTTCTTTAGGATTCTCCTCCTATCAGAACATCCCTGCCTGTTCTTTCTACCTCTCTTGCTATGAAATTCTACCTCCCATGTCTTTCTCCAAAGAGAGATCTTTGATCTCAGCACTGTCTTCTGACTACTGCACCTTCCTGCCCCTTTGGATTGTGTTGTACACCTCAAATATATATAATCTTTATGTCAGATATCAGTGATATCTAAGCTATTATGAAAAAAGAATAAAGGTATGGAATCAGAAATGTGCAAGTCCTTGTGGGGACCTCTCAAAAGATTGGCCTGAACTCAGACACATGAAGGTTAGAAATATTTGAAGGGGAACTAGTTGAGTGTGAACTTGGGTAAATAGGGTAATCATGGTAAATTTTTATTTCTGAGTTGACTGTTGTGGACTCTTATGTGCAATTGAGGTAGAATGGGGGGGTTATAAATTTGTTTTGTATCACCCTTGAATGTAATCATACTTTTAACAGGCTGACAGGAGTGTAGCAACAATAAAGTACATCCAGTAGTTCTTAGCAAATGGAAGGCAAAACTGCTGACAGTCTTGGTCTGAGATCAGGATCCTTTAGGACCCTTTAAATAATGGCAAATAAGACATTTATGTAGAATTTTAAAATATAGTGGCAAGTTTAGGGATCATTACAGCAGCAACATTGAAATAGGAACAATTATTCGAATATCACATGTGTACAGGCACAGAATGTGACTGAAAAAGGTGAGTTCCCTAGCCAGTGCAGCAGCACATCTACTTCTGAAGACTATGTGGTCCAAAGTTCATAGGGATCACTATTTTTCCTCTTTCTGCATTAATAAAGAATGTGTTACAATAATCTAAACTGTTAGAGAGTTGACTACAGAAGTTTTCCTTTAAATGTGAGATTGATACTTTGGGAAATTTGGTTTGATGGTCTACATATGGAAAACAAATAGCAAGTTACAGGAATAAGATGACCATACAAAAATCTATCAGTTATCTTGAAATCAAATGTTGTGTTTACAACATTCTGACTCACTTCTTTGGGATAATAGTTTCTAATACCTATGTCTGCTTATTTCCCTAATCTGTATAGTGTTTGGTACCCCTGAATGGGCTTTTCCAAACCCAAATTTGAAATATTATAATAATCATAAAGTTGGTCCTATGCCTTCATCTTGTTTCAATCTACACACTTTTTCCAAACATCTCATCCAGTCCTCTGTCCTTAAATATTTACCTACTGATGATTTCCACTTTGCTATCTCTAGTCAAGACCTTTCTGAAGATTTATATATCTGAAACTGGAATTTTAATGTTTGTACTTGAGTATCTAAAACCCATCTCAAGATTAATATGCTTTAAAATGCACACTTGGTTTCCCCCACATTTGGAACCTCAGGTTTAGTCCCCATCTCATTAAAAGGCATTATCCCACTATCTAGTGGCACAATCCAAATAATTAGGAATAATCCTTAATTCCTCACTTTTATTAATGTCTTCATATTGAAATCATGACTACTGAGCCTTATTTTTTCTTTCTCTAAATTATATCCTGATTTCTTCCATCTCCCTCTCTGTTGCTCCCTCAAACCACTTTTCATAATTTTTATGTACCTTCCTTATTTCATTGTTTCTTTATTCAGTTTTACCCTATCTGGAATGTCTGCTCAGAGAAAATAAAGAATATATTTCTCTTTTTTAATTTTTGCCAACACCTTGATTTCAAGGAATATATTTCTAATTATATCACCATCATCAACATAGTGCTTGATCCATAGTCATAATTTAATAAGGATGTGTGGATCCTTATTTGTATGAATGTGTCCCTTATCATTTTAAAGCAAATAGCCCTCCAACTTCTGTGGTCCAATGCTAACAGTGACTTAATTTTATTGTCCCAGCATGCTTTATAAGATCACATTTAGAAAGCAGCCAAACGTGTGTTGATTTCTTTTGAATGAGCTAATATTGTTTATACAGTGGCTTGTTTTACCTTTTGTTTTGTTAAATTATTGTGTTTTACCCTCATTCAAGTTACACTGAACATATCTACGTGGAGTGTTTTTTTTTTTTATTGTTTTTTTTTAATTATTTTTCTTTTTTTCTTTTTTTTTTCTGGAAGGCCTGCAACAAGCAGAGTGCATGGAGTTTTAAACTGAGATAATAGTGTAGTCAATAAAGAGCCAGCCTACAAAAAGCTGTTTGTGAAATAGTTTTATTTTGTTCTATCTGATGGAAAGATTTATTGTTCTCTTCTTTCATAGAAATCAAGAAAGTTGATAATCATCTACAGGTGCACTCACAAAACAGAAGATGTCTGAAGAGAGGGGAACATAATGAATTTGGAAACATCATTCAACAGAGAAAAAATAATTTTCCTTTAAAGCAAAATCATGATATATTTGACTTACATGAGAAAATATTAAAGTCAAATTTAAGTTTAATCAACCTGAACAAAAGCTATCAGATCAAGAATTCTGTTGAGGTTAATGGAGATGGGCAATCTTTCCTCTATGATAAACATGAACAATTTCATAATGAAATGAAATTCCCTGAATGTGGAAATTCTACAAATATAAATTCACAACTCATAAAGCATCAGAGAACTGAAAAGATACATAAACCCCATATATGCAATGAATGTGGGAAAGCCTTCCTCAAGAAGTCTCGCCTCATTGATCACCAGAGAGTTCATACAGGAGAGAAACCTCATGGATGCAGTATATGTGGGAAAGCTTTCTCTAGAAAGTCCAGGCTAACTGAACACCAGAAAATTCATGTACGAGAAAAACGGTATGAATGCAGTGAATGTGACAAAGCATTCCGCTGGAAATCACAGTTCATTGCACATCAGAAAATTCACACTGGAGAGAAACCATATTTATGCAGTGATTGTGGAAAAGGCTTCATCAAGAAGTCTCGGCTCATTAATCATCAGAGAGTTCATACAGGGGAGAAACCTCATGAATGCAGTCTGTGTGAGAAAGCATTCTCCAGAAAGTCCAGGCTTGTTGAACATCAGAGAACTCATACAGGAGAGAAGCCCTATGAATGCACTGAATGTGACAAAGCATTCCGTTGGAAATCACAACTCAATGCACATCAGAAAACTCACACAGGGGAGAAATCATATATATGCAGTGATTGTGGGAAAGGCTTCATTCAGAAGGGCAATCTCATTGTACATCAGCGAACTCATACTGGAGAGAAGCCTTATATATGCAATGAATGTGGAAAAGGCTTCATCCAAAAAGGCAATCTCCTTATACATCAACGTATTCATACTGGAGAGAAACCCTATGTATGCAATGATTGTGGAAAAGCCTTCAGCCAGAAGTCGTGCTTAATATCCCATCAGAGATTTCACACAGGAAAGACTCCCTTTGTATGTACTGAGTGTGGAAAATCCTGTTCACATAAGTCGGGTCTCATTAACCATCAGAGAATTCACACAGGAGAGAAACCCTATACATGCAGTGACTGTGGGAAAGCTTTCAGAGATAAGTCATGCCTCAATAGACATCGGAGAACTCATACAGGAGAGAGACCCTATGGATGCTCTGATTGTGGGAAAGCTTTCTCCCACTTGTCATGCCTTGTTTATCATAAGGGGATGCTGCATGCAAGAGAGAAACGTGTAGGTTCAGTCAAGTTGGAAAATCCTTTCTCAAAGAGTCACAGCTCATCTCATACAAGTGATCTTATTCAAGATAAAAGCCCTGTTAACATGATAAGTTCCAAGCAGATAGCAATGTAGCCACTGTGGGACAGCCAGTTGCCAGATATTCATCCTCAGCAGACAACAGAATTTGCACAGAAGAGAAACATTAAAAGAGATCTTCTTACATTATTATCTGCTGTATAGATTGATGTTAGATTTATGAAGTAATCTTTAAATATTTCATTTTCACAGGGTGGTTTCATGTGTTCTCACTTAATTTTGGAGATGTTCCAGTTAGTGTTCATAGTTTATTTCTATGATTTCCTCTCACAATTGATGAGGCAGAATGTACCACTGCCAACTCTGCAATTCATGGCCTTCAACAGTCTTCCAACAGTTCTCTCCTTCAGACTCTCTGACACCTACTGAGGTTTTATGTCTGGGCAAGACTTTTCCATGATCATTAATTTTACCAACTATTGAGCTCACTGATGACCTGTAATCTATGTTCACTGAAGACATAGTCCAGATTAACAGGTCCTTCTTTCCATAACAGACTTTCTTAGCCTCTGCATTCTCACTATTTTGCTGTCATTATATGCTTATTAGCCACATAATTATTATGAACTAGGTTTTACTCAGGGTTTTCCATTTGAATGTTCAGTTTTTTCCTGTGTGTTTTTGTGACATAGAATATGATGTAATTGATCACTAAAAGCACTACCACATTCACTGCATTCATAATGTTTCTCTTCTGTGCAAATTCTGTTGTCTGCTGAGGATGAATATCTGGCAACTGGCTGTCCCACAGTGGCTACATTGCTATCTGCTTGGAACTTATCATGTTAACAGGGCTTTTATCTTGAATAAGATCACTTGTATGAGATGAGCTGTGACTCTTTGAGAAAGGATTTTCCAACTTGACTGAACCTACACGTTTCTCTCTTGCATGCAGCATCCCCTTATGATAAACAAGGCATGACAAGTGGGAGAAAGCTTTCCCACAATCAGAGCATCCATAGGGTCTCTCTC